GTCGGTGGATTTCACAGGAGTCGACCAAGCCGCAAGATGGTTGTTCTTCTTATGAAATAGTTTGGTATGCACGCACCATGTTTAACCATCAATTTTCCCCTGCTTTAATCAAAATGATATTGCTTTTTTCTTTCTTCACGTCATAAGGGCCCTACAGGGCGAGCGACGCGGCACGCTGTTTGCTCTTTTCCAGGCGGAATGTAGCTCATATGTTGCCTACACTCTCAGAGAGGTGCCTGTCCTAAAGGGGAAGGGTAGAGGGGGGGGGGGGGCTGCTGTCCCCACCCCACTGTCCCATCTCCCCTACTCCGCACCGGTCTATCACATCGTCGCCGCGTTTATTCCGAGAGCCACGTGGTGTGTGTGTGTGTGTCGTCCCTGAGCCGCGCCGGGAGACATCCGAAACTGTGTATGCTCCTTTCTTTCTCGCGCCCGCCTGTCTATTGGCAAGCGCGCAAGAGAGATAAAGGTGGGGGGGGGGGGGGGCTGCCGCTGCGGAGGCGACCCGCCCGGGCCCGGGCCTCGCTCGGCTGGCGGCAGCAGCGATCCCGTTTCCTGCCTCGGCGCTTACGAACGTGAGCGTTGACGGTGCCTCTCAGGCATCTTCGGTAGTATAGTGGTCAGTATCCCCGCCTGTCACGCGGGAGACCGGGGTTCGATTCCCCGCCGGAGAGTTTCTTTTTATTTATTTGTATTAAACGTTACGTTTAAGAATTTTGTAATTTTGTCACATTCATAAAATTTTGAAGAAGAGATTGATAAGAAAAGACGAGCAACATTAAAGAAACGCTAAATGCGTCAAGCATGCGACTATACTTATAGGCATATCTACAGGAAACCCAAGTGTGTGAATATCGCACGCGTGCAGGTGTGTCAATTTCTATTCGTACATTTATTAGCGGTGCCCCCAAAATGTGCAAAGGAAAATTCACACAATTTTTTGTAGACCTTTTCTAAGTCTGCCAATTGAAGCTGACACGCCTGCACTGATAAAGTAAGTGTGCAACTGCTTAACACTTATAAGTGTGCAACTGCAAGTTGAATACTTGAAAATGTGCAACTCTGTAGTTGTACACTTGCAAATATTTGACTGGGTAGGCTTGCAACTCCTCTGTTGCACTCTTCCTTAGAGGTAACGCTACTGTGTAGAAAGTGTTCCACAGAGGAGTTGCACACTTGCAAGTGCACACCTATACGGAGTTGAAAACTTGCAAGTGTACAGCTACGGGATTGTACTTTTGCAAGTATTCAACTTGCTGTTGCACACTTAGAGTGTTAAGCAGTTGCACACTTAGTTAATCAATGTGCGACACTTACGTACTTGCAATGTATCTCATCATACCAAAATTTTATTCGACCTACGAACAAACACTGACGTTAAATTAAAAGACCTCAGTCGATTCGGGTTCAAAAAAAGTTTACGCAGTCGGTAGGACTCGAACCTACGCTCCCAGAGGGAAACTGATTTCTAGTCAGTCGCCTTAACCACTCGGCCACGACTGCGGCTCTGGCGGCCGTCCCTCCGCTGCCGCTCTCGAGCACCGCGCAGCTGTGGCCGCCGCTCCTCGGCCACCGCGTCGGAAACGTGCCACGCCCGACACGCCACATGTGCTTCGCGCTTCTCGAGAGGGTTTTCTCGTTTTCTGAGCGCCGGTTTTCGGTCTCACTTTTCTCTGTGAAGCGAAGGGCCAGTCACGGTTGACCCTTGTTTGCGATGTTTCCCGGGGATATAAATAAATATATAGCCACGTTGCTGGCGCAGAGGGCAGGGCGGGCGTAGCAGGCAAGACAAATACAGAGGTGTATGTTTGCTCCCCTTCTCCGCCAGGCCCTTGTTCAGGATGCCGTCGCAGAGCAGCATGGGGCACTTCTTTCCAGACCGCGTGGGGGAAACTATTGAAAACGCTTTTCCGGAGCCACGATTGGAAACACTTTGCGAGTCACTCTGCCCTTCATGGAGTAATAAGATGTAATAACGCCATTCCTACCGCACGCTCATTTCGCTGGCGCTTCTGTTGTTTGCACGCGCCCCGCCTCACCCCCTGGAACTCCCTGTAAACAAGTGGCTTGATATAACCAGCCCTAACCCTTTCGGTCGGCTGGCGAGCGAGCGGTCGCACTTTTCCGCTTTTAATGAGAGGTAAATAACAATTGTAGTCCGCGCCGTCCGTTTGTTTTCCGGCGGGTGATTAGCCGAGTCATCGATAAGCTGACGAGCCGCGCTGAGCACGCGGCCCTAATGGTTCAACAGCACACCTGCGCAAGCCTGCGCGTGCAAGACACCATTTCCAATTATTTACGAGGTTCCACAAATTTTATTTCCCCTCTCTGGGAGGTTGCGCTCTTTTGGTGTGGCGGTGGTATCGGTGACTGATCGGCCGTGTGCTCCTTTGTATATGAGGTGGCCTGGTCTACTTTGCCCACACCTCACCTGCCTCACCTCTGTTCACCACCCGACGCCCCCCTCCCCTCCTTCCCGCCGCGCCGTCCGCTCCTCTTCCCCCTCCCCTCCCGACGGGGACCTTTGCAGACCCCGCGCCGGGGAGCCGATGCCGACCGGCCCGGCTGGCCCTCAGCACACGCGTATTTCCGTCCGCACCGTATCGCCCGCCTCCATAGCTCAGTGGTTAGAGCACCAGTCTAGTAAACTGGGGGTCGAGAGTTCGATTCTCTCTGGAGGCAGGAATTACCTTTTGCGTTTTTTGTGATTCTTGAAAGATAAGAAAAGTAAGAAAGGTACCAGGAGGCCCACCGGTGCCGTTCCATTTTTGGGTTATACTGTGCAGGATGCAGGCGTGCTGACGAATGCGATAAAGCGCCTAGGCAAGTTCGTCCGGCGCACACTGACTCTGTCATACAAAAGGTGTGTACCAATTTTTTACACACAAGTTAGAGTGACGATTTTGTGACTTACAAGTTAGAGTGACGATTTTGTGACACACAAGTTAGAGTGACGATTTTGTGACACTCAAGTTAAAGTGACCATTTTGTGACACACAAGTTAGAGTGACCATTTTGTCACACACAAGTTAGTGACCATTTTGTCACACACAAGTTAGAGTGACCATTTTGTCACACACAAGGTAGAGACAACTTTGACACACACAAGGTACAGGGACAACTTTGTCACACGGAAGGTAGAGGGACAACTTTGTCACACGGAAGGTAGAGGGACAACTTTGTCACACAAAAGGTAGAGGTACAACTTTATCACACACACGGTAGAGGGACAACTTTGTCACACACAAGGTAGAGTGACAAATTTGTCACACACAAGATTGAGTTACAACTTTGTCACGCACAAGATTGAGTGACAACTTGTCACACAAGGTAGTATGATAATTTTGTCACGCGCTAGGTAGTATGACAATCTTGTCACTCACAAGGTAGTGTGTGACAAGGGCACCCAGAAGACCATTTAGTCCAGAGAACCAAATTCAAAACCGACGAAATTTTAGGCTGTAGACCAAAATTGATCCGTGGCGATGAAATAACTTAGTCTAGCTGACTTAATTTGATTGGTGCTGTGATATTTAGTTGAAAAAGGGGTTACTAAATTTTAGTCGGTTCTAGTAACTAGATTTTGTTTCTTAGAACCCTGATTTACTTGTATCAAGTAAACGGCTCTCTGGGTGGGAATGACGGTGGGTATCGTGCGAGAGGTACCGTGCGATAACCGTGTGACTCAAAGAAAAGTGTGTCAAACAAAATGTTTTTCCAAATTCTTTCCTTCTCTTTAAATAAAAGTAGGAATTTACCAAACACTCTGTGCATGTAGTTTTAAGGTAAATTCTAATGCAATAGTGACTTTGAAGTCAACTGTCTAAATGCAATTTCTACATATCATTGCATTGGGCATTGGGCGCAGTATTAAAATTGACACACAGTATTGCCTTATCATTTCCCCCAAACTGTATATTTTTCACCTTTTCACACATTTTCCAGCGATAAAAATCATAAATGTGGCATGTTTTTTTAAAGCGATAATTTTATTAGGTGCAATAAAATGTGTGAATCGCATTTTGGTCACTATTGCATTATTTGTATAAAATTGATCGCACTTTTAATAAGTATGTTGAAAATCTGACATTTAAGGAAAAGAATAATAAAATAGCTTTTTAAAAGGGTTTTGGACATTCGCGAAAAATTTGGAAAACAGAAAAACGAACGATTTGTATCTGTTCAATCAGCAAGCACTTATTCGTTTTCCTTCGTTTCTGTTTTAATTCGCGGATTCCTGTCTATTGTCTCCCCCGTCTGTCTGGTCTCGTGGAACTGACAGCGATAGCAAGTGACGTCTTCGCGATAAGAGATGGTCGGGCGGGGCATTGGCGGCAGCGCCGCGACAGCCAACCAATGGCTGTCTGACTGGGAATGGCGGCCTTTTACCGCGAACAGTACGAAGTTCCTGCATCTTACCTGCAGTAAATATATACATCTTCTTTATGTTCTGCCCTTCATTTAATTTATAGACCCAGCAATTATAGCTTAATACGCTATTTTAAACCATTTTTAGGCTTCGTGGAGGATGGTCATTTCTAAAGCAGGTCAGCCAGGTGCGAGGCCAGGTGTAATTTGCTCACGCTTCCATGCAAGGTAAGTGTTAAGTTATTACACGACATTTCTCTTGACTTATGATCAATATAGCACAAAACATATGAGTGGGTGCATTTTAAGTCACTCGTCCGTTTTTTTTCTTCTAAGGAAACTTATTATTTTACGATTTTAGTCTGTAAATGTACGACGTAGTTTAGTTTCCAGTTAGTTCTCTAGTTTTCAGTAATGAATTGATGTACAGTACATTCTTCTTCGCCCACCAGTGTGACTTCAACCTAGCTGAGTTTGAGCGATAATGATCTAACCTTGCTGTTTTTAGTCGAGAAACCTAATTTATTTAAATCGGGTAGCATAACAAAATTCTTGCTGAAATCGATGTTTTCAAAACACCGTGGCTTGAACTTCAAAAAATTATTTTGGCACTCCATTTTGAGTGCCTTCTCCAGTCAACAAATCATGCGTAGACTTCGTAGGGACTCAATCAACTATGCAAGCTTTTGTACGTGCACTTTAACTTTCACTTACTCATTTGCATATTGCCATTTCCGTGTCGAAAATTATTAAGTGGAAAGTCCTGTGAGAAATTATCTCATAGTTGGGTGTCGACTGTCCACTGAAAACCTTTGAGTGAGGTGTCGTGCTCGAAATGAGTGAGACAATTTTGCCTCATTCAATCAGAGCGATGACTAAAACGCTCACCCTATTTGAGTCCTATGCACCGAATTCTTACTCTGGAGGAGTAAGATTTCCCTGACCTCGCCCAATTGCAGTGAGGAACCTCACTCTCATTGGGCGAGAACCGCAAATTATGACTCAAATTGAGAGTCAGATATCTCGCTCTCAGGAGAGTAAGATTTTTTGTGTCACTGATCTCACTTTCCTGAGAGTAAGATATCTGACTCTGGCATTTTCAGTGCGAACTTGGCGTCGAGCGACCCAGGAAACCCGGAAATTATCTGAGAATTTACAAGTACGGTAATTTTATTTTCGGTCGGTGCTGGATGCTGGACACCCAGCAAAAATGCGCACCTGGGTTGAGAGAAAGCGCGAGGAAAACTGTTGACATCTGTGTCAATGACCGCCCCGCACATCTCGAACGCACACTCACGCATACAGTGGCCCGATGGTATCAGTGGCCCCGGGGCCAATGTCAGAAGGCCCTTCTACACATTCCAGGAGCCGCGCCCGCTGAGGCTAGTCGGGAGCGACTGCCTAATCACTCATCCGTGTTCTTCCACCTGTTATACATTTGCGAGTGTTAAACCTGATTGTGGGTATTCAACTACTGCACAACAGTGCTCAACTCACACACAGCCACTTGCAAGCTTTTACGCAGGTTCTATAAATTAAAGAAGGATGGGTGCACTGTAAATTGCTTACGAACAATAGGTTTGTAATGCAAACCAAAACCTTCGTAGCTTACGAAGGATTTTGAAGCGCTGTATTACGAACTAATTTTTCGTACTTATACAAACAAATAGTTCGTAATGCAAACCAATTGTTTGTAAGAACCTGTCTAGCCTTAAAAACAATGGCTTTGCAATACGAACAATTTCTTTGCAATGTAAAGAACAAAAATTGTCCGTAACGATGCAAAGCATTTTGTTCGTAAGCTTTTTACAGTGTGTGCAACTTAACTGTTAATTACTTCTAAATTACAACTTACAGGCGCAGTTTTCTGGAGGGTGGGCGGGGAGAATCGCCCCCCCCCTCCCCCCCCCTTTCGTCCCCTTTGGTAGGTACACAATTTTTCCTACAAAACCCCTGAAAATAGGCAATCCACAGGAAATCGCCCCCTCTGTCAGACGGACTTAAACCGCGCATGAACTTCAATTCAAACTTTCTGAAGACGCCGTGGTCCAGTTTTGGGTGCAGTTCAGATCCGCCTAAGGTAGTCCGTTCTGCGTAGCCCTGACACACATATTGACGGCCAAAGCCGAGGCCGCTTTATCGCCTGGACTTTTAGTCCATCAATATGTAAACCTGCTGCAACAGCTGCAGGGAAATGCGCTTGTGTGCTCCCCGCTGTGTCTGCTGATCAGTCTGATTCGCAATCACCGATCAATTATTATGCGTGGTGCTGTTGACTTCCGTAGGGTGAATGACACCAAATGACTAAGTGGAATAAATTTCTTATTTTCTTACCGTTTTAGGGGAAGGAAACTCGAGTTCGGGGAAAACTGAATAAAACTTTTGTTCCGTTGTGAAAAGAATGACATTCCGAAATAGTTGAGGTGATGGTGAGGTGCAAAAAATAGTTTCTGATCCGCTAAACAGAACTCAGCCGCAACCCTCGCCAAAACAAATCCGTCGGCTGCTGCAGCGTGCGCTCCAAAATGCACAAAGTAACATACATAATTATAATCGGCAATTAGTGTTTCCTCTTCGCTCAACACTGTCGTATTCAGAGTCGAAATCGAATTTATTTACCTGATTTTCGTTGACTTCGACCGCACCGTTGGAGAAAATGGAGGAAGGGTAAAAAGGGCATCGGGGAGGAGCCGTGACTACAAATAGGCAGATTGCAAAGTCAAAATAACCGTAGCAGCTTGATTTTGACCTTTATGCTTTTCAGTCAAAACGTCTGTTTTGCTTGCTTTGCAATTCTTACATATTGAATAAAAGTTCTTTTAAAAGCTAAATTTACTTATTTTTATCATGTCATATCTGAATTAGATACTTTCATAACATTATCGTCACACGCCGACCTTCGGCATGAGCATCATGTGACCCAACCCTGTACGAGATACACTACGACGCTCTGCACTTGCAGATTAAAGCCTTGTAAAAAGAAGAGAATTCATGTCGGCACGTGCAGCAAGGCCGTGACATATGACTAATCATCAGACAATATACTTTTGCTTTACATTTGTTTCGTGTGGCTCATGTCATGGCCTTACTGCTGCACGCGCTGGCTTTTTTCGTCCTTTTTGCAGTTAATATTAAATTTGCATGTGCTGAGCGTGCTGATCCACACTCATGACTACACAACAGCATACAGGCGACCGGTGACAAATATGTACAACACAATTGTAATGTTCTCAAAGCCCGCACAGCAAGCTTTGTAACAACGTATAAAAATCGTCCCTCATCAATCTGTCCTAATAATTATGTAACGCGTGTTTCTGTGCACGCGATGCAGCGTTGCGGGTTTGCCTACTCGCTCGGGCTGTAGTCGAGCCACAGCACAGGGGCCGGGCCATGGCGTCTTACTGGAGGGGAGTATTCAACTCGTAACATTGGGGCGCGTGTGTACATTACCACATGGTATTTATGTAGATCCTTCTAATTGTTCGTCCATAATCATGCACAACAGTAGTAACATAAACATTTTGTGTGCGCGTACAAATGTCGTGTGAGCCGTATTATATTATGTAACTAAGTTCCTCCACCATGCCGATTTCTCACGACACGGCGAACTAACAGCAGAGTCGTCTGAAATCGGCGCAACTAAACAGGCCGCTTTTAATTCCAACTGAATAAGGAAATGTTGAGTAAGGGCAGGGAACAGCTTGAATGCAGAAAATTTTTACTTAAAGTGCATCTTGGTGCGCGCGGCTCAAACTACGCCACGCGGTTCGGTTCCCGTCAGCGGGTCAGCATCTAATTTGTGCTGCTCATCAGCAGCTGAGACATTTCGTGTCGGCATCTCCTGCCTCTCCCAACGAGGAAAGCGCTACCCGTCGTTTAAGACGACCTCGGAAACTGAAGTTTACCTTAACGAAATCTATAAGAACTGTTACCTCATGACGAGGTGTCGATGTCGGTATCAATGTCGGAAAGGCAGCGCCGCAAGCCCACGCACAACTTATTGATCGGTGATTGCAAGTCAGCACGATCAGCAGACGCAGCGGGGAATATGTGCCGGGGAACAAGCGCATTTCCTTGTTGCTGCCCATTCTCATTTTAAAAGTACGGGCGATAACGCAGTTCGGGCTCGAAGCGCGGAGTACCACAAAGTCAAAACCACCCCTCGAAATCATTTTTGACTTCGGACATTTAATTTGCGTCCATTAGTTCGATTTGTCATCAGTTCATTGGTGGAGTGCCTGCTTAGAGGGTAACACACTTAAGAGACGTTTGTAACCGTGGACTTTTATTGATGCACTGTAAAAAAAATTACTTGCGATTTTACCTACCGTGGGCTTGGCAACCCCACACATGAAGCCCAGGGTTGTCAAAATTCCCTGCCCAGTGGGAGTGTTGATTGGCAAGCCCACGGGGCTATGAAAATTACCCGCCCAATCAATGGGCAAGCTGGGCTACTCCACAAGCCCAACTTGCTAATTTACAACCGTGGGCAAGCAAAGGCTCTCTGCCCGCCCAGGGCAGCGTGCAGTTGTGCAGGTAGTGTATTATAATCACGCGCTGAACGGCGTGACAATGACGTCGAAATAATCAGAAGTAAAGGAGAATGTTTTATACCCTATAGCGACACAACGATAACAAAATAAAGGCGCAAACGAAAAAAATAAAAATGAGAGATAGAAAAGGGGGGCCGTGAAATAGGAAATAGAATAAAAAGCGATTCGGTGGGCGCGTGCAGCCGTGGCGAAACGTCATGCACCTAGTGGTGCAAGCGAGCCAATTTCTATCTCATGCGAGGGCAGACTGGGGGGTCAGAGGGCAGCGGCAAGGCTCGGCGGGCAGCGCGGTTGGGAACAGGAACTTTGAGACGGCGTAGCGCACTGTGCTTGGGATTGCTCCCTTTCACTTCCACGTCGTGAAAACCGTATTATACACTGGTAAAACAAGTGTGCAATATTTGCACAGCAAACGTGTGCAAGTTGTGATTTAGCACATTACATGGTGTTTAACTCAAGTTGCACACTTGCGTGTTGTGCAAATTTTAGACGTTTTGTAAACGTTTAAATTCTGCACACTTGGACACACACAGTTCTATGCTGTCAATAGGGAACCATACGGTGTGCAGCTGCTATACGTTTCGGAAGTGTCGAAAGTTTAAACACCAACTGACGTATAACTTAGTTAGACACCACAAAGTGTCGAGAAAATGCACACTTGAACTTAAACGTCAA